GGTGGTTATACTAACCAATGTAGTTTTGTGATCTAAAATGGATATAAATATTTGTATTTGGAACATCTGTATAACTCAGTGAGTCAGTATTTTGCAGATAATCAGTGCATGATGCTACAGAATCATGTAGGGCAAGTGATGCAAAGAGTAATGATTGTGATGTATGGGGTGTGGAAGGTTCATTGACGTGACTGTGGTGCACATCACCTCTCGCCTCGGAGAAATTACCGTCTGCACAGCCTACGTGTAGTACCAGCGAATTAGCTTAAAAGGCTACCGAAATACCTCTCCTTCTTCCAACTCATCTGAGTGAGGCTTGATTTTTCTCCACATGCATCAATAAAAGCAATATATGCCAAATTGCATGCAGAAACAGGAAAATGTGGCTGTCTCCCACCCCCCCCAAGAAAAGAAAGGTATTTTTAGATTTGTAAAACAATAACACTTTTCTAAAAACTTTTAAGAGAGTATTTTTCATAAGCATACTATTTTAACACTATTTTTAACTGGGTGTAAATAAATTCAAATATTTTTTCTATTTATTTATATCTTTAAATTGTCCAAAGGAGTTGCTGTGCAACAAAGTAGTATATGAGTAAGAGAATCTTGATCAAAACAGTGTCTTACTTTTAAATTTAGTACTATAGATATTGATGGGTAGAACCCACATGCGAACTCTGGATTCTCCATGAATTTTCATGGGTAAAGGGGTTACAAAGCTAAAAAACTTTTGAGAACTGTTAGCTTATCCTGTTTCTGTCAATAAATTGTGTTGATAAGTTGAGCCATGTTTATTATCTCTAATCACTGCTTTAAAATGTATTACACTAAGATTTTTTTCAATGTCTCAACAAAATTGGTGACCAAGCTTATTTGGCCATAATGTGTTCATTTATTACAAGACCACTTTACTAATCTCTTGTCTCCATATCTGACTTAAATTTAACTTCTCTGGGCTAGCCCAGGGTGGGAGAGTTGAGATAGACAGTTCATTTTTCTTTTGTCCTACACCTCCTCTGCTTGGGGGGACAGATTGCTTTTCTTCCAGTGTGTAGGTACTGGGGAAAGGGACTGCCTAACTCACGCCTGTAATCCTAGCTACTCAGAAAGCAGAGATCTGAGGATCATGGTTAGAAGCCAGCCCAGGCAGGAAAGTCATGAGACTCTTAGCTTCACCAAAAAGCTGGAAGTTAAGCTGTGACTCTAGTGGTTGACTGCTAGCCTTGAGCAAAGAGGCTCAGGGACAGTGCCCAGAACCCCCCCCCCCCACACACACACACACGGGGAAGGGAAGTGAAGGGAAATACCGTACTTAATTAGCTATTTGATTGTTTCTTTTGATGCTAGTTTGTCTGTTTGGCTAATGTGCTACTGGATTGCTGGATGGATCATTAGCAAAATGGCTTCAGTGAGGTTCATATAACCCAAAGGAGACTCCTACATCATCATCAGGCCAAGCAGTAGCGACCCTTTTGCTCCCTTGGTTGTGTGTGTGTGTGTGTGTGTGTGTGTGTGTGTGTGTGTGTGTGTGTGTGTGTGTGTGTGTGTGTGTGTGTGTGTGTGTATCCTGAGGCTTGAACTCAGGGCCTGTGTGCTATCACTGAGCCTCTTTCTTGGCTCAAGGTTCTGGTAGTTCACAGTGTAATCCTAGCTACTCAGGAGGCTTCAGATCTGAGGATTAGGGCTCCAACCTAGCCCAGACAGAACAAGCTGTGTAATTCTTATCTCCAGTTGATCAGCAAAATAAGCTAGAAGTAGAGTTGTTGCTTGAGAACACCAATATTAAGTGAAGTAGCCAAGGAACAGCACCCAGGCCCTGAGGGCAAGTCCCAGTACTAATACAAAAATAAAGTGTAAGCCAGGAACCAGTGGCTCATTCCTTCAATCCTAGCTACTCAGGAATTTGGGATCCTAGGATCATGGTTCCAAGTCAGTCCAAGCAGGAAAGTCCATGACACTTATTTCCAATAAAACTACTCAGAAAAAAAGCCAGAAATGGCTCTGTGGCCCAAGTGATAGAGCGCTATCCTTGAGCACAAAGAAGCTCAGGGATAGACTATATCCAGGCCCTCAGTTCAAGCCCCAGGACCAGCATTTCCCCCCGCCCCCCCCAAACACACACACACAAACACACACACACACAAACACACACACACACACACACACACACTTTATCACAAACTTCTTCTTGCCTGGAAATCTCATGTGATTTTCTCAGCTTGATCCTATATTCTCATTTCACTTGCCTTTTCTGTGTCCATCTAGATGTTATTGTCACAGCCATGATTCAGGGCTTCTGCTCCAAGGAGCCAGTATTATGTTTGGTTTTTCCCTGCTGAAATGCGTTTTCTCAACCAGGCATAGAAAATGCCAACCTTGTTTTGATTTTTACCTTTAGTTGTTGCTGGTTTTTCTTTCTTTTTTTGGCTAGTTGTGGGGCTTGAACTCTGGGCTTGGGCGCTGTTCCTGCGCTCTTTAACTCAAGGCAAGCACTCTACTGCTTGAGCCACAGCGCCACTTTAGTGGCTTTTATTGGAGATGAGAGTCTCACAGACTTTCCTGCTCTGGCTGGCTTTGAACCTCGATCCTCAGATCTCAGCCTCCTGAATAGCTAGGATTACAGGCATGAGCCACTGGCGCCCAGCTTGTTGCTGGTTTCTTGTAGGTAAAGTATTAAGATATACTTTTCATAATGTGGCAGGCTAAATATTTCTGGCTTGTGTAATTCAGGTTTTCTTCTTGTTGTTGAATTACTAAAACATTCCAAAGTATGTATTGGCTACTTTCTCTAGAATATTATTTTGGTGACTAAGGAAATCTGAAATATGGAGAATGTTCTGAGAAGAGTTTTAAGGAGGATACTATGTTTTCAATTAACACAAAAACATTGATGACTTACTGCTTTTTTGTAAAAAAACAACCTAAAGTGCTTTAAATATTTAGCAAGAAGGGTCATTAAGTTGAAAATAAACAGTTTTCTATATCTTTTTTTGTTTTGTTTTGTTTTTGTTGGTTGCAGGGCTTGAACTCAGGGCCTGGGCTCTGTCCTTGAGCTTTTATGCTCAAGGCTAGTGTTCTACCACTTTGAGCCACAGTTTCACGTCCAGTTTTCTGGTGCTTAATTGCATATAGGAGTCTCATGGACTTTCCTACTCGGGCTGGCTTTGAGCCATGATCCTCAGATCTCAGCCTCCTGAGTTCAAGCTGTACCACCAACAAAAATAAGAAAATTAAAAGAAAGATATCTTTTAATACCATTTTCACTTAGTAATTTTTTATTTTGCTATTTTAATCTTAAATAATTTCTTCTTTAAGCAACTCAACCCTACATACATAAAAATTAAGTTCCGTGCATCATACAAACTACTGGGAAAAAAAGAATAAGGCATACTTCTCTAATTAAAAAAAATTTTTTTTGTCAGTCCTGGGGCCTGAACTCTGGGCCTGGGTGCTGTCTCTCAGCTCTTTAGGTCAAGGCTAGTGCCAGGTCAAGGCTAGTGCTCTACTACTTGAGCCATAGCAACACTTCCAGCTTTTTTCTGCTTATGTGGTGCTGAGGAATTGAACCCAGGGCCTCATGCATGCAAGGCAAGCACTCTACCACTGAGCCACCTTCCCAGCCCTCTCTTATATGTTCTTTATAGATATATACTATCATGTAAAATCAGTACTCGTGCATTTTAAATTTATCAAGAATTTTTTTACAGGAGGAATACTCAACTTCACTAAATGTCTTTGAAGCACATACTGCTGTATTATTTTAATGTATCATGATATTATATTAGCTTACATTCTATTTAGAATTTCTGCATCAGTATTCATAGCTGATAGTGGTAGAATGCTCGCCTTGAGCTGAAGAGCTAAGGGACAGAGCCCAGGCCCAGATTTCAAGCCCCTGGACTGACCAAAAAATAAAAAAAAAGAATATATGAGACATCAGGAAAACAAGAATTTGGGCTGCTAACAAAATCAGCAAAAGCAATATTGTTTATTTTCTTTTAAAATCAGCATTACTCTTTTGGTTGCCAGTGAATTTTGGATAGTTAATTTTCCCTGGACATACTGACCAAGAAAATTAGCCAAAGAATGATGAAGATTGATGTATTAACATTAGAAAAGGATAATGAATGATTGCACTGTTCCCTTAGAAAAGGATAATGAATGATTGCACTGTTCCCTTCATCCCGTTTATACTTTGTCTTACGTGGGTTAAATTTTCTTTTCTATGTATTGTCCCTTTTTTCTTTTGATCTCCACTGTTTTTCATTTTTGGAGAAAGATTAAATTGTTATCTTCTTAAAAGACTATCATGTCACTACTTTTTTAATTCTTTTTTTGGTCCAGTTATGGGGCTTGAACTCTGGGCTTGGGCACTGTCCCTCAGTTCTTCAGCTCAAGGCTAGCGCTCTACCACTTGAGTCACAGCGCCACTTCCGGCTTTTTTTTTCCTGCTTATGTGGTGCTGAGGAATCAAACCCAAGGCCTCAGGCATGCAAGGCAAGTGCTCTACCACTGAGCCACCTTCCCAGCCCCTACTTTTTAAATTCTTATACAACATAGTATGTGATTTTCAGCTCTTCTAGGCTGCAGTTCTGTTCCATGAACTTTCATTTTTAATCATCAGAATCTCCCCTGTCCTGTGATTCTCCTAATCTCTGCTAGGTAGGTGCTGCACCACTGGTGTCATGCCTTTGTCCTTTTGATTATTGTTTGGTTAAGGTCTTGTGCTTTTTTTCCTGTATCATCCTGGACTGTAACCCTCTGTGGCATGTCTCTGTGTTGTGGATGAGTTTGGTACTGGGGTAAGTTCAGTGTTGTATAACTGTATGTTGAGATGACCCACCACGTTTTAATTGCTTAAACAAAATTAATTTAGCTTTTAGTACAGCTGGGTTTTGTTTCAAACCATAGTTTTGCACTAACTTACATTGTATTCATTTTTATAGCTTACATTCTTTCAAATTTGTTTATTCCTAAAATGTGATGAATTCCATGGAATTATGTCAAAATATTGCCCGGATCATATTGATAATATCACAGCTGTCAAAATTCTTGTCCTGATGCTTTCTATTAAGAACCAGGTTGCTAGAAAGGTAATAGAATCTCCTCCTAGCATCGGGATAATGAAAATAAAATCCATCTTCCAGACTTTTACAGCGTTTGCTTAACTTTAACAATAATTAAAGAGTGTATTTATTTGATACCTTTTAAAATTAGAAAAAAATATATAAAAAATGGGAGACCGGTTTCTTCAACTATGAGTAAGAGGCTGAAGTGTTTTTTTTTAGTATAAATGTAAAGGACTCCTATGTAAGAGCTGAAAGAGAGTAAACTGAAATTTCTAAGCTTATGCATTTATAAAACCTTGTTTCACTTCTTTAGATTTAAGACTTTTAGAAACATTGCCTTCCATTGCATAGGTTCTTGTTTTCCTGTTTCTTGGGTCCTGATGATAGGAAGTGAAAGACCTGTTATTTTATTTATTAATGTAATTGGTTTGTTTTATAACATGAGAAAGTGATCTTACTTAAGTATTGTGAGAAATGCCTCTGTTCAAAATTTGAATTTTGGGGAAAGATGGCATCAGAAAGAATGAACCATCAGTAAGAGGAACCCCAGTGTGCGGAGTGCCAGCTGATGCCCCCTTGGTGGCCCTCACCTGGTGGCGGCGGGCTTCTCACTTCTGCCTTATTCGTCATTTGTGTTGTGTAGACGTACAAAGGACAAGCGATACTTGAAATGTTGACACAATGTATTTCTAGAAATTATAGATTTCAGAACTCTAACTTGTTTATTCAGGAGGAATGTGGTTTCCATGAGGAGGCTTTTTTCCAGCTGAGTCACATTGTATGCACTGGATCATAGTAATTAATCAATTATAGATGCATATGTGCCATCTGTAAGATACTTAAACACATGACTTTAGAAAGTTCTAGGGGCCTGTTTTGATTCACAATTATAAAATTATCGAATTATCTGTTCTTGTTGCATTTAAACTCAGATCCTTTTGATTTCCTTCCAGATTCATGAAAAATTGCACTACTATGAGAGACAGAGTCCTGTGCCCATTCTTCACAGTGCAGCAGCTTTGGCCGATGACGTAAGTGTGCCTTCCTGAGGGCATTGCATGTGTCTGCCACCGTGGAAGCCACCCCAGTGCCCACAGAGAAGTGTGGTCCCAGGAGAGAAAACTAGAAGTTGCACTGTTTCCAAAAGCCCCAGGCATTGCAAGTTTATGCTAATGATGTTATGTTGATTTCCATCTACTTTCTTGTTCTAAAATGGTACATGTAGCTACCCTCTATGCCTCTATGCCTTGAAGTTTTTAGACTTCAAAGTCGATGAGGAGAGAGAAACTGTCAGGCATTGGTATTCTGAGAAAAATCTCACACAAAGGGAATGTTTTGGAGAAATAAAGATAAATGAGATAGTTATATTGCTGACAGTACTAAAAAATGACAGGTACTAGGATAGGAATGAGGCCTATGTAAAAAGACAGAATAGTTTTAAAAAATGGATTATGAAGCATAGTGATGATTTATGGATATTAGACTTTTCCAAATTACCTTTTCTAACCAAAAAATACGTTTGAGAAGCAGTTGGCATTGATGGAGTAGTTAATTTCCTGTAGCTATAATTTTATTTTAAGCCTGGGAGAGGGGACTAACTTGCAGTTCCCACTGTTAAGTTTCGGCCTCGGATGAGTTGAGAGCACACCTGGATAAACTGTAAGAACACTCAGCTACACTCAAACTGTGCTTATAGGGTGTTGTGGTAGCTTAGGCCTGTAGCGTATTTGTTGATTTTAATTTTTTCTTTATTATAATTTTTACTTGTGATCATTATCTTTATTTTTCAAGTCAATGGTAATTCAGGTTAGTAAAGTATCAGAGTCATAAAATAACAGAAGAAAAACTGTCTTTAGTAGCTGATTTTCTTGGCTAGAAAATAAAGCGCATGTGATGTTTGAACAAGTTGTGCGTTGTTTAGTGTTCAGACATTTCCCTTGCATTTTTATTTACAGACATAAACAGGTTTTAGTGCCTACATTTAGTGAGGAAGCTTACTTTTTGCATTACAGAAACCAAAACTCTTGAAATGAAGGCAAATAAAGGTCTAAATATAGTTGCATGAGTAAACTTCAGTTGCAGTTTAAACCTACTTTAAAAAGGGATATATATTCAATATTTATATAATATATGAATATATATAATATTCAATATATATAACATTCAATATGTATTGAATATGATGACTGTATTCATATATCTATATATCTATCTATCTATATATATGTACAAAAATTGAACCAGTTAAGTTGAGGGGATAGGGTGGGCTTGGGAGAGATGGAGAATGATGGATGAAAGAGCCAATATTGATCAAGATGCATTGTATTTATAAACTGATGTCTTGAATTGAAACCCTTTTGTACAACTAAAGATAATTTTAAAAAGACGAAAATAGTTATTGCTGAAAGTTTTAAGGGGAACCATTTGTGTAAAAACCAGTGTAACTGAGTCCCAGTCATAATATAATATTTCTTTTTAAAAATTTAGAATCTCAGCCAGGGGCTATCACTCTGTGGTAGCGTGTATGAGGCCTTGGCATTTGAGTTTTAGCCTCAAAAAAAAAATACTATGTAATTACAATAAACCATAAAATGTCACCCAAGCAATGCATTTGATGTTAAAATGTATTATGTTTTAAGTGACTAAAGAATATGAAGAGCCCTTTATGTCTCTTTGTAAGTTAAACATTCTATTAAGGTAAAAGTGATTTTTTGGTAATTAATTAATGAATCTAACAATTTTCTCTGATTTCACTTTCTTTTAGAGAAAAGTCATTTTCTAGAGATAGAAACTATCATTTTCAACCTGGTAGGAACAATATAGGCAAGTGGACATTACATGGTATGTTTTACAAAGGGTTCTGAAGTAAAAATAAATCCATATATTCTGAATTATACATGGCATGCTTTTCTTACTATAAAATTTATATTATCTTTCCTATAGCCCCAAATTGAACAGAAATCTTTGTAGGAAGATCTCCTTTTAAGTTTTATCTTTATCTTTTATTGAAGATGATGATTGTATATATTTATGGGGTATAGGAGTGGTACTTTGATATGTGCATGCATGCACATGTGTATGCATACACACACAAATAATCAAGTCAAGATAATTAGCTTGTTCATTGTATCAAACATATATCATTTCTTTGTGGTGAGACTATTTAAAGTCTCCTGATATTGAACATGTGGCAGGTTGAAAATTCCAATCTTTTCTTTAGATAGAATCAACAAATGGGAATTCTTCATCATTAAATAGAGTCAGCATTTTTGGAACCAGAGTAGTTGTTAAACTGTTATGAGTTTATGATGAACTTAGCTTATATTTAAAAGACTTCTTAGTCTGTGTAAGTAAATATAATAAAAGTTTCAGGTCATTTACTCTTATTAGGACCATTCTATTTCTTTTTACTCCAGTGTTAAACAGCACAGCTACTGTAGGGTTTTGGAAACCCTGTGGATTTTACCACCTCATTGAGAAGCTCTCCAACTCTTTCTCTTTGTACATTGTCAAAGCTTGATCCAATCCTTTATTACAAATGGTCCTTTGTCTGCCTGCAAAAGACCGTTCCACAGATGAAGTGCTGTGATTTGCCCTCATGGCAGTAAATCTGAATGTGATCTGGCTGACATGATTATTTCAGCTGTGCCCAGCCAAGAACCTGGGCTTGGATCTGGTCTTTTGAGAGTTTGTGAAGACACACTGATTAATTTTCTTTCCTACTGTCTTGTCCTGTAACACTGGCGAGTAACAACCTCCGGCAAAATCGATTCTCACTTGTGACCCAGCACACTCACAGTGTTCTTGCTAAACATTACTTATGCCGATGTAATCTCCCTTGCAGCTGGCCGAAGAGCTACAGAACAAGCCATTAAACAGCGAGGTCAGAGAGCTGTTGAAACTGCTGTCAAAACCCAACGTGAAGGTGAGGACATGTTACCCCTGTAATAAATACCTTCCAAAAGGGCCACTTTCAGAGCTGTCAGATGAATTGTTCTAGGCATCAATTTTCAAGTGAATGTGCTTTCAACTAGTGTGCAGTATGCTAGTAGCCTATATCCTATTAAGGAAAAAGAGTAGAGTGTAAAAAAAAAATTATAATAAACTACCCAGGAGTTTAATTGGGGAGCTCAGATTTTGAATTGGGCAAATATAGTGTGGCTTTGAGGTCATTGTCCTTTTCAGTGAAGTTAAGCATACAGAATATGTGGGCCCCTGGTGACTCACACCTGTAATCCTAGCTATTCAGGAGGCTGACATCTGAGGATTGCAGGCAGGAAAGTCTGTGGGACTATTGTCTCCAATTAACCACCAGAAAACTAGAAGTGGAGCTATTGCTCAAAGTGGTAGAAAGCTAGCCTTGAGCAGAAATCCTCAGGGATAGCACCCAGGCCCTGAGTTAAAGCCCCACAACCAATCCCTCCCCACTCCCTACACCAAAAAGTACAGAATATACAACCTACTATTTTTTTTGTTGTTGCTTAGGTTTATTTCACATGGTCAGTTAATGATATTCAAGTTTTTAAATAAATGAATCTGTTTCCACTGTTTCACATTGTCCATCTTTTTCCCCTCATCTCCCAGTTGTCTGTCCCTCTTACAATTTATATTTCAAAATGGCTTTCTACTGTATAGAACAGAGCAGTTTTCTGGTGTAAAAGACCTGTAACTTATTAGTAGAAAGACTCATTCTTCTCTTCCCACTTCTTCCCAAGCTTGTGTCTTGTTTGTTTTTCAAATGTAATTAGTTTAGAAGAAGGGATTTCACAGTTCTCCTACTCTTGTTCTAAGATGATTCATGATTAAAATCCTATAGCAATTTTGGACCTGGCGGTGTTACAGTTGTATAGAAAACAGTATTTCATCAGTATTCTGTATTTTCATATGATCCTTTATCTAATATGATTTACAGGCAAGCGTATATAGAATGTTGAATGGCAATTTCTGCCTGGATGCAAAGTGATTATTTAAGGGTAATTGATTTGTTGTGACTCAGAAAGTTAAATTTTAGTTTTGAAAGAACATGGATCAATGTAGAGCAGAAAAGTTTCTTGATATTGAAGACAAAAGATATTAAAAAGCTAGGCTCCTAGAAGATCTCCAAGGAGATTTTTAGGCAGAGGATGCTCTGAAGATTTCTTCTTCTTCTTCTTTTTTTTTTTTTTTTTGGTCAGTCATGGGGCTTGAACTCTGGGTCTAAGTGCTGTCCCTCAGCTTTTCAGCTCAAGGCTAGCACTACAGTGCCACTTCCGGTTTTCTGGAGGTTTATTGGAGATAAGAGTTTCACAGACTTTCCTGCCTGGGCTGGCTTTGAACCCCAATCCTCAGATCTCAGCCTCCTGAGTAGCTAGGATTACAGGCATGAGCCGGCTCTTCATTTGGTCTTAGACTGTGTGTAAGAAGTTCCTATCAACCAGACAGAGTGCAGTGGACTGTGAGAAGCTTTTTAGGTTCATCTGAGATTATTGTTGTGGTTCAAAAGCACAAGAAATTGAAGTGGAATGTTTTAGACTAGAACACAAGACAAAGTAGATCATTTTAATGTCCCGTTCAACAGTGAGGTAGAATAGCTAATAATAAATCATACTATAGGAAACTGGCATTCCATTTCCTCTGGAACTTAAAGGGTATTATGAACATCCATGGCATGAAATCTTATAGTAATAAAATAGGTCATGTCCATTATATGGTAAATATTTTAGATGAATCTTTTATTCTTCACATTTATGTAGCAAGATGAGTAAAGTATGGGCGAGGAGTTTGCATGAAACATTGTCAGGAGGCAGTGGCAATGTTTAGTTATCCAGTCTTGGGAGGAAAGTATGTTTCTTCTACTTTTTCATTATTTTGTTTTGTGGTACAGGGTTTTAAACTTAGGTCCTATTCTTGCTAAGCAAGTATTCAAGAGTTTGTTTTTGGACAGTGTTACCTTTGCTCTCTCCCATTTTTCCCTCCCTTTCCCATCCACAAGTTGTTCATTTTCAACATAGTATCCAATGAGGTACCACTGCTGCATTTGTTTATCCTTTGTCCCTCCATTTCTGTGCCTCCCCGTTTATCCTTTGTCCCTCCATTTCTGTGCCTCCCCTTACCGTCCCACAAAGACATATAAATAAACAAATAGAACAAAAATAAAAGAAAACAAAAACAGCAGAAAAGATAAAAAACCTCATTTCCATTTCCTAGAGATCATTTCAGTAAATATTATTGTACATGATCAGATGCACATAGACATGTGCCTTTCTTTCTGCTATTTTATTTTGAATATTTGATTCACTATAATGAAACAGGACCCAAGATATACCTCCAAAATAATATTAGAGGTTTCTTATCAAACACACTCAGATATATACAACCAAATACACAGTGGCTGTGTGAAGAAAATGCATGTATTCTGCAAATATGCTGTTTGTTTTTAAAATGTTTTATGATTTTCCTAATTTGTCACTTGATATCTTAATTCATTCTTATTGAATAAGAATATATTGAATATCTATTGTATATAAACTTATAGATGATTATTAGATTAATTGACTTAGATTTAATTAATTAGATTTAATTAAGATTTCTGAAGGTGGTAGAAGAATTGCTGGCAAGTGTAGAACACATAAGAGGAATGCTAAATCCATATTTGTAAAGCTATACAGGCATTGAGTTTAGATCTGAAGGTTGAATTTGAGGTAACCACGGGAGGGGAGTGGGTAGGAGTGGGAGATGAAGAATATGTTTTTAGGCAGTGTGACTAGCAGGTGAAGTGTCACAGAGACTTTAAAGGAATAAAATTTGAAGAGGCGGAATAAGTTCATTGCCACTAGTTGCCTGCAAAAGAAGAGGAAGCAAGAGTTTGAAGCAGGTCATGGTCACCAGAATTTTGAGCAGAGCTTGTCCAGCATTATTATGAATAGCCTTTCTTTCTCTTTCAATGGTTGTCTTAGGTTGATGATAAATTATATGGTCACCCTAGTTGTGGATTTCATCCTAAGTGCAATGGAAAGCTATTGAAATAATTTAATTATGGAAGTGATACAGTTACCTCTAAATGGAATACGGAGCAGTTTTCCCCCCTGGTGGAGCCTAGTAGAGGATGGGAGGAATGTGACTGGAGGAATGCCAGTTTGGATTTTGTGGAAATAATTCAAGTGAAATGTGATTGTGGCCTTGTTAAAGGGAGGGAGACATGGATCATTGTGAGGTATAACTTGAACACACAGTGCTAGGATAATGGGCTACTATTTGGGGGAAAAATAAGAAAAATAAAAACAGGAATGAATTTCAAATATATGAAATGTAAAAAATTGAACTAAAATATTAGCAAGAAAAAAGGGGGGGGGTAGGCTAGGAGGTGGCTCAGTGGTAGAGTGCTTGCCTTGCATGCATGAGGCCCTGGGTTCAATTGCTCAGCACCATATAAGCAGAAAAAGCCAGAAATGGCGCTGTGGCTCAAGTGGTAGAGTGCTAGCCTTAAGCTGAAGGGCTGAGGGACAGCGCCCAGGTACAGAGTTCAGGCCCCACCCACCAAAAAGAAAAATATTATCAGGGTTGGATGTATTAGTCAGAGGAAGTATACTTGCCTAGTATGTATGAGTCCCAGCGTTTGACCTAGCATAGCAAAAACTAAAAAGAATATGTGTATGGGGATGGGAAGGTGGCTCAGTGGTAGAGTGCTTGGCTTGCATACATGAGGCCCTGGGTTCGATTCCTCAGCACCACATAAATAGAAAAGGCCAGAAATGGTGCTATGGCTCAAGTGGTAGAGTGCTAGCCTTGAGCTGAAGAGCTGAGGGACAGTGCCCAGGCCCAGAGTTCAGGCCCCACAATCGACCAAAAAAAAAAAAGAATATATATGTGTGTGTGTGTGTGTGTGTGTGTGTGTGTGTGTGTGTATATATATATATATGTATATATATGCATATATATGTGTTTGTGTGCATATATAGACATATATACATATATATCCACACATATATATTATGTAGAAAATAGTTATATGATCATGAGATAGAGAAGTACTTGCAAGCATAGATGAACACAGACACCCATAAAAGTGAGCCACCAGTGCCCATGCCTGTAATCCTGGCTACTCAGGCAGCTAAGATCTGAGGATCATGGTTTCTGTCAGTCTGAGAAAGAAAGTCTGTGAAAGTCTGTGAAACACTTATTTTCAATTAACCATCAAAAAGTTGGAAGTGGAACTGTGGTTCAAGTGGTATAGTACCAGCCTTGAGCAAAATAAGTTTAGGGACAATGCTCAAGCCTCAGTACTGACACCAAAGGAAAAAAATACTAAATGAAAATAATTTATAATACTTGTCCTTAGTAAGGCATGTAGTTTATTATTTGCATTTTAATTTTACCTTGGACAAACTTATGTTTACAGAAGTGAATAGATAACATGTTTCTAATTCAAACAACGAGACAGTGGGAAACAGTACCTGCATTGGTTTTTAGTTAGGGTAAGGTTCTTAATATGCTAAAAACTCAGTTTCTTCCATGAACTGTGCATTCATATACCTAGAGGGTATATGAATTGTCTGCAGTACATTATAGATGATTATTAAATGTGCATTTTCCCATATAAACAGGATCATAGAATGCACTACTTTGTCATTTTTGTTTTTAACATTTTGATATGTTGCAGACTGCTCCCTGGATCAACATATTATCTGTTTAATTTGTCCTGAGGCAGGAAGATATTGTGAGCTCAAGAATCTGGGGTCAGCTCAGTAGTATAACAAAACCATGTTTCATAAGTGACATGGAATTGGGAATGTTTTTATGTTTTTCTGTGTGTTGGAATAGTATAAATAACATAAAAATCTAATACGTAGCCATCTGGTTCTAGGTCCATCTCAGGATGGATGGGGGGATTTAGCAGGTTTGTGTGAAGTGAAGGATTTTAGCTGATTTCTAACCTTTCTTTCTGGATTTTTAAAATGAATTTTTCTGAAAAATGTAACATTACTTGCAGATATATTGGAATAGTGTTAGGCATTTTTTCCTCTTACTTGATTGCTATCTACAATTCAGCCTTATTTCTCCATACTGCTAATGTATACATTGTCTCTCTTTATTTGCTTGTGGTACATAATGAATCTTGACTATTTACCCAGTTCCTAAAAATAAAATAGCTATATCTTTATCTTATCAATTCTGTTTTTATATTTATTTTTGTCTATATCTTCCTTCAGATTATTTTTATTTTTTCCTATTTGATTTTTTCAGTTGAGTACTTTGCATATAGATTTTATACTTGTTGAATGATAAAAGCCTAAGAGTAAATACGCTTATGTCCTGTTGGCACTGACATTTACTTCTCAATATCTATAGTGAGTTTTGATCCTTTCCCAGTCTGACTTAATTTGCTGAGTTTTGCGGATTTTATTTTATTGATTGATGCCAAAACTAGAGCTTGAACTCGGCACTTTATTGTTGAGTCACCTTCAGCTCAATTAATACTTTCTCACTTTTAAGACATGACAAAAAATAGTTGTGTACAGATTTGCAATTAAATGTAATTAATTGCAAAGGTATCACTGTGAATAGGGCAGACATAAGATAAACACTACAATTAATTATAGCATTAAGTATTTAGTATGGAACAGGCTTTTTTGTCAAGAACTCTCATGGGTTATCTCTGGGATGAAACCTTAGTACTTGCTAATACTATTTTCAGTGCTATGGAAATTAAAATTCCAAAGCTTTCCCCTGTTTCATCTCAGGAAGTCTGAAGGCTACAGATAAGGACCACTATTTCAAGCCTTAATCTCTATCTCCTACCTGGGGAGCCAAAAGTATCTCTACATCTTTTCCTCCATCTCTCCTTACTGTATCCTATTATAATAAGATAAATGCTTGAAATAGTGAAAGAAGAACCAAAAAGCCTTGCATCCAAAAACTAAAGCAGACCTGTAATCAGCATGTGTATGTATGTCTATGTGTGTTTGTGCCTCTGTGTGTGTCTGTGTGTGTGTTGTGTAATCAACAAAGAATGCTACTTGGCCTTTCTTACTGATGGATGAACCTTTGTCTCTAGTAGACATCATTATGCTTGAAATATAGGGTTCCCAGTAAATTGAAGTCAATGGAAATTATTAAAAGTTCAGAATTTGTGTTCCATTATTAGTCTTAAATCTCTTCCTGTGGGATACTTCAGTACATTCATATGGCCTTAAAAATTTCCCTTCATGTTCTATAATTTTTAATAGTATAAACATGTGATCATTTCTCTTATTAGCCATCTATTGCTTCTGAAGAGTGCTGATACCTTTGTCTTACTGACCTTAAGTCTCTAATGATGTGGACAACTTGTCATTATGTAATAGTAGCCTTACTTGAGAACTATCGAAGATTTCCAAAGAAACATGAATTGATCAGCTACCACATAAAAACTATGCTGCCTAGTCAGCAATATCTACAAAATTCAATATTGCTGTTAAGATTTTGAAGTCTAGAAGAGCAGTGAAGAACAAAAGAAGGAAGAAATGATGAGAAAGCTAGGGCTGAGGTGGCTACTCCAGGAGCCTAGAAATAAGGACCACTCTTCAGTCTCAAATTACTGTAGTAAAGACAAATTAACCTGTGTAGTATCATCCAGAGGCTTATTTGATAAGCCAGTAAAGTGTCACCATCCGTAAAACATAGTGTCATAATTTAGGTTAGGGAAACTGGTGGATAGTGTGTGTGTGTGTGTGTGTGAGAGAGAGAGAGAGAGAGAGAGAGAGAGAGAGAGAGAGAGAGAGAGAGATTGAGATTCCTGGGGCATGAACTCAGGGCCCGGGCGGGCCTGGATGCTGTCTCCTGAGATATCCTCTCCTTCTCCCCCAGGCAAAGCTAGGGCTCTACCACTTGAGCCACAACTCCACTTTTATCTTACTACTATTATTTTTTGGAAGTTCATTGGAAATAAGAGTCTCATGGGCTTTCCTGCTCAGGCTGGCTTCTAACTACTATCTTCCGATCTCAGCCTCCTAAGCAGTTAGGATTATAGGTGTGAGCCACTGGTGCCTGGCAGTACTTTTTTTTTGGGGGGGGGTCCAGTCCTGGGGCCTGAACTCTGGGCCTGGGCGCTGTCCCTCAGCTCTTCAGCTCAAAGCTAGCGCTCTACCACTTGAGCCACAGCACCACTTCCGGCTTTTTTCTTTTTGCTTATGTGGTGCTGAGGAATGGAACCCAGGGCCTCATGCATGCAAGGCAAGCGCTCTACCACTGAGCCACCTTCCCAGCCCCCTTGCAGTACTTTTTAAAATTGTGTGTGTATGTGTATGTGTGTGCTAGTACTTGGGGTTGAATGCTGAGCATCACATTCTCGCTTGACTTTTTTGCTCAAGGCTGGTATGCTACCACTTAACTCATACCTCCACTTCCAGATTTTTGTTGGTTAATTGATGATAAAAAAATGTCATATTTGTTTTCTTAGGCTGGTTTTAAACCTGGATCCTCAGGTCTGAGCCTTCTGAGTAGCAAGGATTACAGTTGTGAGCCATTGGCACCAGCTAGATTTTTTTAAAATATAGTTTTATTGTTATTAGTAAGATGTTGTACAGAATAGTTACCATTTCATAAGTTAGGTAATGAGTATATTTCATTTTTGGGGCAAAGTTACCCCTTCTTTCACTTAGATTTTGTTTTTAAGCACTGTTTGGCCTTTTAATCCTTTTTTTCCTTATTGTCAAGGTGATATACAGAGGGGTTACAGTTATATAAGTAAGGTAACGAGTACATTCCTTGTCAAACTTGTTACGCCTTCCCTCATTTTTCTCCTACTTTACCTCACTCCTAGATTTTTTTTTTAAGGCAACAAAATAAAAGTATTTTTTGTAATTTTTCAGCTTTCCAAAACAGTCACTGACTAGAAATTACTCACAGTCTAACCATGCAGGATGAATGAGTCTTCATTAAAGCTTCTGAAAGGGAAAAGTTAAGCTTCCTTCTGGAGGGATTTATCAATGTTATTCATCCTTACGAGCTGGACACTTAATTCTGTGGACCCGACAGATACTTAGAAGGTAGTGTTGACTCCAGGGGGTCCTAGACAGTGAGTGTCTGTGAGCTCGATGAGTTTCAAGGCCCAGTGTTCAATTTCCTGCAGATTCTTTAGAACTACAGGTAAACCCATCAGTTGTGATGGTTGGTTAAGGCATATGGAAACACAATTTTATTTAAGTATTGCCTTTTGGAAGAAAAATCTGTATATTGAAGAATAAAAATTACCACAGTTAAAATAGGAACATGGAATGTAAAAATGACTTTCTTGTCCCAAATAAAAATGTTACTGGCCAGCAGTATTTGTAAAGTAAAGCTATTACAATGATGAATTTGAAGTCAGGCACTGGTGGCTTCCAAGACTCTATCTTAACCAATACTGGACACTTTATCATACAGAGAGGGATGTGTAAATATGATTATCATAGTCCAGGGTATTTGTGCAGTATTCAGGAGGCTGAGACCTGAGGTTCATGGTTCAAAGCCAGTCAGGTCAAGAAAGCTTGTCAAGACTCTTACTCCAATAAATTGGAGTTTTGGCTCAAGTGGCAGAGCACTAGCCTTAAGCAAAGACTCTGAAGGGCAGCATTTGTGCTCTGATGCCAGGACCAACACACTCCCCCCCCAAAACCATGGCTAGCGTTGTGGCTCAAGCAGGAAAACATCTGCCTAGCTAGTAGAAAGCTCTGTATTTCGGACCCTAGTACTGAAAAGAAAAAAAAGCCTCTGTGTGTGTGTGTGTGTGTCTACCATTAAGCTTGGCATTGTAGCATGGCAGCAACAATACACAGATGAATAAGTATGAATGTGTTCCAATAAAACTTTATCAAGAAAACATGTGGCATGGTTTTCCAGTCTGATTAGTCTAGAAAAGTGGAGACAATTTTTTAGATACATTTTGAAAGTTAGGGTAGTAGACTATGTATTTGATGTTGGGGAAGCACTTGAGAGGAGAGGGGACATCTCAAGGATGGTTTCTGGGCTCCAGGCTTTAATAACCTGTGGGTCATGGTGATGATGCTAGTTAGGGAATGAGAAAGCAGAAGATCCAAAACTAATTTGCCTAAATAGTGATATGCCAGGTTCTAGGTTCTCTATCATCTATAATAATATTATATCAATGCTTCGTGTTTTACCTCCACAGTCATAAGTCAAAATGCTACTTTTGTATACACAATCACATGAAAAATTAAAATGAGAATACAAAGAGTCAATAGTATTGATCAGTTTTATTTTCTGCTGATGGGAGAAAAATACTAAAGAAGGAAATTTTGTACCTGTCCTAGGACTTGAACTTAGGACCGGGTGCTATCCCTGGGTTTTCCTTGCTCAGTGCTAGCTCTCTACCACTGAGCCACAGCTTAACTTCTGGCTTTTTGGTGGTTAATTGGAGATAAGAATCTCAGACTTTTCTGCCCAGGCTGGCTTTGAACTTCAATCCTCAGATCTCAGCCTCCTGAGTAGCTGGGATATCAAGCATGAGCCACTAATGCCCAGGTAAAAAAAGTATTTTTGAGTATAAAATAAATCAAATATATCAATCGTCTCAAGCTCCCATTGGCTCATTCCCAGCATGTTGATAGCTGTATACACTTTCTCTTCCAACTGCTCACCTCATCCTACTTTATTGAATAAAGCAGGAAATACACAGAGGGGCTGGGGTGTGGATTCTGTGAGTCAGTGCCCTTGGAGAGGGAGGTGCAGCTAAGTGGGGCTGTCTTCCTTTGCACTTGTGCCACTCCCCAACTGTGTGTAAGAGGTCCTTTTCCAAGTAGTGTCTTATTACCATTAGTATATTAACTTGCGATCATAGGATTTTGATTTTATTTATACTTTGATATATTTGGGGTTTTGTATTTTATTAATTTTTTATCAACTTTTGCATTTTATAGGCTTTGCTCTCTGTTCACGATACAGTGGCTCAAAAGAATTATGATCCTATATTGCCCCCTATGCCTGATGATATTGATGAGGAGGAGGACTCTGTGAAAATAATCCGTCTGGTTAAAAACAGAGAACCACTGGTGAGATTGATCTACGTCTTATGTGTACATATGAGTAAATATCATGATGTATCCATATTGGACAGCCTCATATCACCTTACTTCCTTTGTGTCTTCATATTTTATATTTGTATGTAGAGGACACAATTTGAAATTAATATGAAGCCAAATAAAATAACAGGCATTCTGTTATTAATGGCAGTGATTTTGAAAATATAGGCATAAGCTATCAGCATCCAGCTGTTTCCATGTTTTTACTCTATCTCATTTCATTATTTTTTTTTTTTTTGTCGGTCATGGGGCTTGAACTCTGGGCTTGGGCGCTGTCCTTGGGCTCTTCAGCTCAAGACGAGTGCTCTACCACTTGAGCCACAGCGCCAATTCTGGTTTTCTAGTAGTTTATTGGAGATAAGAGTCTCATGGACTTTCCTGCCCACGCTGGCTTTGAACCTCGATCCTCAGATCTCAGTCTCCTGAGTAGGATTACAGGCGTGAGCCACCTGTGCCCGGCTCATTTCATTAATTTTTTAAAAGTTGTTTTTATTTTCTCTAGATGAATGTCCTTATTTCCTACAGTGCAGTGGACAAATCTACTCAGGAATGCTTTTGTGATTGTTTTATTTTGTTTGGAAGGGAGCTACCATTAAAAAGGATGAGCAGACTGGGGCAATCATTGTGGCTCGAATCATGAGAGGAGGGGCTGCAGACAGGAGTGGTAAGTGATGGACAAGTCATATTGTTTAGAAAGCAACAGGTCCAGTACATAATTTGAAGGATAACAACCTTCTGTTCTAATACAGTGGAACAAATAGTATGACATGTTTTCTGTCAGAATTCAGGAACCTGTATAAATCAATGACTAACTTTTATGTGTTGTCATTTTATACACAAGCTTGTGAAGCTGTAGTAAGATCTATTTCAATGTTTCTTTTTTTTTTTCTTTCATTCTTTTCTGTGTGTGTGTGTGTGTGGTGCCAATATTAACTCAGGGGCTTGTGCTCTCATTTGACTTTTTTTTGGTCAAGGCTGGCACTCTTTCACTTTTCAGCCTTTTTTTTTTTTCTTACTAATTGGAGATAAAGAGTCTCATAGACTTTTTGGCCCAGGCTTTCTTCGATCCTTAAATCTCAGCTTCCTGGGTAGATAGGATTACATAAGCTACTACTACCTAGCTGTTTCAATGTTTCTGATTTTAAAAATACTGGTAAAACTGTGCAGCCTTAAAAGCAGATTTACTATTCTAAGTAAAGATGTTGGTACTGTGTTTTGCCAGCCGTTCTTGATTCACTGTCACAGGTGCAGATTCCAATGCTCAAGAAGTCTGAAAGTTGCTTTTTTCATCCTTAATCTATTAAGGAAACTAATGATTCTTTGATTATGGAAACAATCACAAATTACAGTTTCTTTTTGTATGTAGCATGCAGATTTCCTGAATTTGTATTTTTTAAACTTTTTTATAAAGGTGATATACAGCGTGAATTTGTATTTTTCAGGTCTTATTCGTGTTGGTGATGAGCTTAGGGAGGTGAATGGGATACCAGTGGAGGATAAGAGACCTGAGGAAATAATACAGATCTTGGTAAGAAGTAAATTAATTTTACACCTGCAGTGAAAATAAAATTAGATCATAGTATTTCTGGTTCTTCAGATTGGGCATGAAATGTATAGGATTTGCAGTCTAGTCTTTAAATCCCACCTCCCATCACTCAGTTCTTAGTCCCGATTTGTACCCCAGGGTTTTGTTTACAGAATAAAATAAGAATTAAATGTCTCCCAGATTCATTTTGAGGATTAAAGGAAGTGATGTAGATAAAGAATTTAGGTATTAATAGATTGTACCTGCAGTGCTTTTGGTGATGTATCATCTCTCCTCCTCCTGTTCTCTGTACTTCATGCTAGCAATTCTAAGTATAAAAATAGTCATAGTAATTTAGATCTGAGGAGACTTAAGTTGTTCTAGACCTGGGTAGTATTTATTCAGTCAACATTAGTTTGTAAGGACGACATGGAGAATGGGTCCTTTTTTTGTCTGAAAATGTAAACCTATAATGAAAATTGGATCTGAGTATCTGAAAATAAAAATGGGTATCTGAAGGATTGGATGTCTTGGGTTGGAGGTATGGTGCAAGTGGTAGAGCACCTGAATAAGAATGAATATTCTGGGATGTAAAAACTTTTTTTTTTCTTTTGGTGCTGGTCCTAGGGCTTGAGCTCAGAGTCTGGACATTGTCTTTGAGCATTTTTGCTCAAGACTAGCACTCTACCATGTGAGCCACAGCTCCACTTCAGCTTTTTGGTGATTAATTAGAGATAGAGTTCCACTGATTTTCTTGCCCAGGCTGGCTTCTCACTGTGATCCTCAGATCTGAGCCTCCTGATTAGCTAGGATTACAAGCAGGAAACAAGCATCCAGTTTAAAAGTTTTCTAATTCAGTGTAATTTCCATCAAAATTCCAGTGGCATTCTTCAGAGAAATAGAAAAGGAATCCCAAAGTTCATTTGGAAGCACAGAAGTTCCCAAATTGCCAAGTTAATTTTGAACAAAAAGAATATTGTTGGAGATATAGTTCCTGACTTCAAGTTGTAATGTAGAGCCATTGTAATAAAACCAACATGACACTTGTACACACAGATATATAGACCAACATGATTGAATACCCAGAAATAAACCCATGCAACTATAGCCATTGATCTTGAACAATACAAACATGGTGGAGGAATAACAGCATATTCAGCACATGGCATTAGGAAAACTGGATATTTACATGCAGAAGTCTGAAACAAAATGCTTTCATAATGTACCAAAATCAACTCAAAATAGATGAAAGACTGAAGCTTGGATATTACTGTAGAAAAACACTAGCAGATATAGACATGGGCAATGTGTTTCTGACAAAAGGGCTTCAAATCCCTCAAGAAATTAGAGCAACAATTGACAAATAGGATTCCATCAAATTAAAAAGCTCTGTATAGCAAAGGAAACAATTACCATATGAAGAGACAGCTTACAGAATGGGAGAGTATCTTTGCCAGCTATTCATCTGGCTATTAATCTCAAAAATATAAATAGAATTCAAAAAATTAAGAACAAACCATCCAGTTAATAAGTGAGCAAATGAATACTTCTCAAAGAAGTACCCTTATCTTAAAGATACCACTAATAACTCCTAACTGTGCTAACAGTTTACTTAAGGACACTACTATTATTGACAGAAGCAAAATTGGAGCTATAAAACAACTAATTTCAGGGCTGGGAAGGTGACTCAGTGGTGGTAGAGTGCTTGCCTTGCATGCATCAGGCCCTGGGTTTGATTCCTTAGCACCACATAAGCAGAAAAAGCCAGAAGTGGTGCTGTGGCTCAAGTGGTAGAGCGCTAACCTTGAACTGCAGAGCTGAGGGACAGCGCCCAGAGTTCAAAACAAAACAAAACAAAAACAAAAGAACTGTCAACATTTTAGTTTAATGTACTTTCAATGGTTTTTTAAAAAATCTAAGTGCATCGCGTAAGAGTTGGATGGTTATATTTTTTTAAAAAGGTACTATGCCATTTGGGGGAAAACAAATGGAACTAGAAGTTATTATGTTAAGTAAAATTAGACAGACTCAAAAAACAAGTATGGAATGTTTTTCTCATATGTGGAATATATATATGTATATACATGTGTGTCAATACATCTATGTGTGTGCGTATATATACACAAACATACACATAGATGAGAGTCTGTTTGGGGGGATCTGTAGGAGGGAGAAGGGAAAAATGGAAGAAGGGAGTGAATATAGTAAGTACATTACATGCGTGCATGAAACTAGCCCAGAAGCCATTCAGATTGTTCAAAAAAAGATGAAAGCGGTGGATGAGTGAGAAGAAAGTACTAGAAGAGTGAAGATGAGCAAAATACATTACATGTATACAGAAATTTCACAAAGAAACATTTTTGTACAAGCAATATATGCTAGCAATTAAAATAACTTGTAAGCTAAGACTATAATAAAAGCTTCCTACTGCCTAGACTTGACCAAAGTGTGGGAAAGTAGCTGTGGTTGTATATTTTTGGTGATGGGAGAAAATAATATGGATTTTTTAAGCAGCCATTTGAAACTCAAAATTTTGAATGTTTATATTTTCTTTTGGGGACTGTCCTGGGGCTTGAACTCAGGGCCTAGGTGCTATTTCAGAGCTTTTTCTTTCAAGGCTAGCACTGAGCCACAACTTCACATCTAGCTTTTTGGAGGTTAATTGGAGATAAGAATATGTGGACTCTTCTATCTGTTCTGGCTTTGAACCACAATCCACAGATCTCAACCTCCTCAGTAGCTAGGTGTGAGCCACTGGTGCCCAGTGAATGTCCATATGTTTTAATGAAGTAATTCAATTATTGAAAATTGACCCTATGGAAATAACTTAGCAAATATATTTAAGCAAAATATTTTGTAGAGGTTTGGAAACCATTGAGAAGGTTGGATTGACCATTCATCCTACTGATAACTTACTGGCAGGCAGTCACAATAGGGGACCGTATAGTCCCTCACTATATATATGTGGCTTTACTATATTGCGAATTTTTTGTGTTTTTTTTGTTTTTGGTCAGTTGTGTGTCTTGAACTCTGGGCCTAGGTGCTGTCCCTCAGTTCTTCAGTTCAAGGCTAGTGCTCTACCACTTGAGCCACAGTGCCACTTCTGGCTTTTTTCTGTTTATGTGGTGCTGAGGAATCAAACCCAGGGCCTCATGCATGCAAGGCAAGCATGCTACCACTGAGCCACCTTCTTAGCCCTTGTATTGCGAGTTTTTTGAAGAGAAAAGAAAAGTAAATATTGATCCTTCACCTATCATGGTGTGAAGTTCCAAAGACCCCCGTAAAGTAGCAATAAGTGAACTGCGATGTAGCAAGGGGCACTTTATAACACTGCTATTTTGCCAAAGGTGAGGGATCACTGTGTAGATGACTAGGTGATTATGTGACTTAATAATAATATACTCATCATTGTTAACTTTCATTGAACCCTTAATGACACTGTTGTAAAGGGTTTAACTTCCACTTGAGAAACACCTATACAACTAGAGTTAATTATAGAGGAGATTTTGCTTTGTCTATCTGTGGAGTTTAGTATTAGATGAATTCTTAAGATTTCTGAATTAGCCTTATGATATAAGCAATAATGATATTTTCATTTCATAATAACAATATTGCCATTAGAATTTACATTCAGTCTGTTTATCTTTGGAGTCTAATATGTTTATACTCATCAACCAGAATATAATACACAAAAGTGTTTTTACTATTTTTTCCTGATGGACATTAGCACTAAATGAATCTTATCTTTATAGCTATAATACTGACAAAAAAGGATTTTTATCTCTAAAACCATGGATGCTGATTATGAAATGTAATAGCCTGATTTTTGGACCTTATCTTAGTCATTTTGACATTATGTTTATTTAAGGCACTATTTGTATTTTGTACTTTTGTTTTGAGTTAACTTGACATGGATATAATCATATTCATTTGTATGTTAAAATAAACAGGAAGTAAAAAAGTGAATATAGTGGCTAATAGTTTTTAACTTGACAAACTTGAGACCCTTGTGACATTACTGGAACATCTACAAAAGGAATTTTATGGTTTGGTCTAACCATAGTAATTCCAGGCTTGTAAATTCTTAGATGTGTTTAACTTTCTCCTTCTTATATCTTACTATTTTTGATTCCGCTTTTTAAAAATGATTCTCTATTTTCTCTGCTACCAGGCTCAGTCTCAGGGAGCCATTACATTTAAAATAATACCCAGCATCAAAGAAGAGACACCATCTAAAGAAGGCAAGGTTAGTCACTGCTTAAAGATACTTTTTGTAGGTGAGGGGAAATAATGTTTTTTTTTTCTTAAATCTTGGTTGTACCCATGTAGGCCGTTTCATTTTTTTTTCTTTCTGTTACTCTTTCTGCAATAAAATCTCCTTCTAGATGTTTATCAAAGCCCTTTTTGACTATGACCCTAATGAGGACAAGGCAATCCCATGTAAGGAGGCTGGACTTTCCTTCAAGAAGGGAGATATTCTTCAGATTATGAGCCAGGATGATGCAACGTGGTGGCAGGCGAAGCATGAAGGTGATGCCAACCCCAGAGCCGGCCTGATCCCCTCAAAGCACTTCCAGGAAAGGTGAGCTACTGGCTGGAAGCAGTGGTCTTTCTTCCAGTGACCTTTTGTTCTCTGCAGAATATTGTTCCAGAATGACTGTGATTAAATGAGCTCTAAAACCCTGCTTTTGAATTCATCATCCCTTGGGTTTGGATTTCTGTTTTGTCTAAAGTATAAAGAACGATAAAAAAAAATAATGTGACTACCAGGTCATCTTAGGTTTTTGTTATGAAGCAAATGGAAAAAATGGCATATTAATATCAGAATTCATGTTGAGGTGAAAGGTAGGAAAAAATAAGTCATTTTAGTAGGAAGAGAAATATACAAAAATTTGTAAGTTGGAGCCAGACCCTGATAGCTCATGCCTATAATCTTAGCTACTCAAAAGGCTGAGATAGGAGGATTGCAGTTTGAAGCTAGCCCACGCAGCATGACTCTATTTTCTCTAATTAACCACCGAAAGCCAAAAGTAGAGCTATGGCTCAAGTGGTAGAGTGCCTGCCTTAAGAGGAAAAAAGCTAAAAAAACATCACACGGACCCCGAGTTGAAGCCAAGTACTGGCATTAAAAGAAAAAAATCCTAAGTTGGAAGAATTGTTTCTTCATTTAAATACTATTTTTTCCCTTCTCAAGACTTTTTTCCTTAAGATTTTTAATATTTTGATGTTACCTTAACCTTGAACGTGTACTGAACATTGATAGACACGTTGACCTTTTCTTTCTCCAGGAGATTGGCTCTGAGACGACCAGAAATACCAGTTCAGCCCTTGAAAGCTTCCAACAGGAAATCATGTAAGTTTGCTAATAAGAATGTAGGATAACCAAATCCTGCTGTTTGATTTTGACTGTTAAAGCAGGTGTTCATGGAAGAAGGAATCCTAATATCTTGCAGTAGATTTTAAGAGCATTATTTTCTCTGGAAGCAAACTCAGAAGATATTCACAATAGGAATATTGCTGTGCATCTTTGAAAGAAAAGATTTGTTTATAATCATAGTCCATTCTTTAGGGAAAAAAGTAGTAACCACAACTCTCACTAATTTCTAAATTTAGATACTTAATAAGTTTAACCTAGAATATACCTCTTTCCTTTGTCCAAAGCCAAGAGCTTTGGGTAAGGTATTTCTTGGGAAAGATTTGAGGAAAAAATATCTAATACTTTCTTGGGTGCAAAAACATTAAGAACAGCTCTGTGTGTGTGTGTGCGTGTGTGTGTGTGTGTGTGCATGCATGTGCACACATGTGCTATCTGAACTGCTTTTGAATGCACAGCCTCAGATCTTGGCCTCTTTAGTAGGATTACAGGCAGCGTCATTGGTGCCTGGCCTACTTAATTCTTTTCATATCCATCAATCATAGTAACTGGCCTTTTATCTTGTTTGTTTGGAGTTTTCACCAACCTAAATTAAATGTTAATGAGGGTAAGAAAAAGGACAATGTAGAACTCCTGAAAAGCCATGTGGGTTGAGGAGGATTTTTTTTTTCTTTCAGCTAACCCTTCTCTCAGCTTCTTACTCCTTGCTCTCTCCTGCCTCTATCTCATAAATTTTTGTTTCAACACTCCTAAATGTTTCCTGGTTTGGGGTGTTTTGTGAATTTTTAAAAATTGTTTTATTTGAAGCACCAAGACCATACATTAAAAAGCAAAATGAACAAATAAATGGCCCTGGAATTTTACATCAACATCTGTTTTTAGTATTGTGTTCTTCACATCTCCTGTAATTTCTGTCAGTATGTAGAAGCTTATAGCCCAGGAATCTCATAGTGAGAGAGCCAAAGTACAGCCAAGTATAAATCTCACAGCAAGCAAACACTTAAGTGCAACACTGATTCAAAAGCCTGCTTGTTCTTGCTACTTAAGTCTGGGCAGAAGGAAAAAGCACTTGTCATAATGCACGTGGCATTCTAAGACATCAGCATGCTTAAAGTTTAATGTTGCATTTTTTTCTAAGTATGCCTACTTTTCCGTTGGTGGCATCTCCAGCAGAAAGGAACTTTTCAGACACCCCTGACTTGCTTTTGGAGGGATCTGGTCCTGGGGATGTTTGTGCAGTTCTGATATATGCAATTCCTTGGAATAAAGCATGCTACTGAAAAATACTAGAAATATGAGGACACTCCAGTCTAAATCTGTACTCACTTCGTTTGAATCATAACACTTTGGAGATTTATAATTCGATATAATTATGAATTTTCATTTACTTAAATTTGCTTTTCAGTAGTTCTTCCCAACTATACTTGATTTCAATGTGTGTGAATTTAGATGTGTGTTTGTATGTATGTGTACACATGTGTGTCCATACTTGTGTGCATGAGCAAATGCAAAGGGTCTCTATAATGGCATCTTTAACAATTGCCTCATGCTTTTACTTTACTTTTGTGCCTGTGGTTGGCACTCTATAGCATGTCTCCAGTTCCAGCTTTTTGCTAATTAGTTGGAGATGAAGTCTCCCAAACCTTTCTGACTTCAAACAGGCTGACTTCAAACAATGATCCTCCAGGTTGTAGCCTCTTGAATAGCTAGGATTACAGATGTAAGCCATTGGCACCTGGTCTAACTAATCACCTTGTATCACTGTGTGGTTACTTATATGACTATGATTTTATTTGTTATTTGATTTTTAAGTGTGTCATTATCACTAGAGTTTTCAAGGAGATGAAGTTTGTGAAGATGACTGTAGTATAGAGTTTATGTAAATATCATCATAAAGGCAGAAAGAAATGGCAAGTTTTAGTCTGGCCATCTGTAGAAGAGCTCTGATTCTGGCTCCAAGGTAAATCAGACCAGGCATTATGATAATCATATCCTCTTCAGGCTTTGGTCTTAACATCCTTATGTAAACTCTTCACTGCAATATTAATCTTTGATGTTTTGTTACTACTCCCTTCAAGAGGCTTGGCATAACTAACACATGCCCAAACAATAGGCTTCTCAAACAAAATAATGGGCTTTTTAAAATTAAGCATTACTAAAAATGAAAATGTAAACTTTTATAATGAAAATGTTCTCTATGTGTATGTATACCAGTCATGGGGCTTAAACTCTGGGTCTGTACACTGTTCCTGAGGTTTTTTGCTCAGGGTCAGTGCTCTATCACTTGAGCCACAGCACCACTTCCAGCTTTAATTAGCTATAAGATTCTCAGGGGCCTTCCAGGCTGGGATGGTTTTGAACTTTGATCCTCAGATCTCAGCCTCCAGAGTAGCTAGAATTACAAGTGTGAACCATCAGCACTGGCTAAATGTATTTTTAAATCTTGGAAATGATATGAGGATTCTTCTCCTTTTCTCTGTCCCCCGTCTATTTTGGAACAATTGCTTATCCAACCAAAAAAATTGTAATAGAAATGTATTTTCCTTCCCTCTGCCATCTGATATGGTTTTCACATAATGGATTTGTATGAGTAACACAGAAGAACAGACCTAGATGTCTGATAGATTTTGGTTGATATGACTAGCTTTTGGATTATTGCATAAAAGAGTCAGCTTAAGTGTTCTGGAAATGGGTGAAAGCAAACCTTAAGTCTCAAGTAGCATATAGGAATAGTTTTTCCTGATGGAAACTTGGCAACTTGCATTTCTTATGTCAATATTATTTAAAGTACCCTAACATTTTTGTTGTCCATTTGCTTATATAAAACATATGCTATCACCTTGCCTTTAAGAAAGATATATGAGTTTCTTTATTGGAGATATTGTTTGCTCTTTTTCTGTTGAAATATATACAATTATATGAGTTAAAAAGTCTTCTTAATTATATAAACATTAATGTACTTTAATAGGTGGTTTTTAAAATTTTTTATCCCAGTACTGGGGCTTGAACTTAGGGTCTAGACATGATTCCTTTAGCTTTTTCTCTTAAGATGGGCTCTCTGCCACTTGAACCTCAATTTTACTTCTGGCTTTTTGCTGCTAATTGGAGATAAGAGTCTCGGATATTTCTGCTAGGGCTGGCTTTGAACCATGATCCTCAGATCTCAGAGCCCTGAGTAGCTAGGATTACTGGCAGGAGCCACTGGCTCACACTGATACAATGTAATTTAAACCCAGCTTGTAAGAGCCTTCAGAAAGAGTGGAGAAAAACTGTTTACATATCTTATTTTACAAGTGTTTTTTTCTTTCTTGCTATTGTTTCTAATGTATTTGTAAGGTGATTTTTTTTTTTGTTGCTTTGTATGTCACTCCCCCATGGTATAACCTTTCACTGTATTTAATGTTGGTATAATTTGTGGAGGGGAAGGGAAAAAACAAATTGTTCAAATAGGGATACAGGTGGACCCATTGCAACAGTGAAATGTACAAGATGCTGTGTTGAAAAGCAAACTTTACAACTTTGGCGGGAGGGGGGGAGGTGAGTGTAGTCGTGGAGATGGGATGGAAAGGAATGGTAGGGGAAAATAAAGGAGGAGGCAACAATGTTTGATAAGAAATGTACTCATTACCTTGCTCATGTAACTGTAACCCCTCTCTGTACGGTATTTTCACAATAAAAACATTTAAAAAATTGAAAACACAACAACAAAACCCAGAATATTTCAGTGCTATTTTTATTTCCTTTCTTAGTTATCCAAGTATAAATACCCAAACAGTTCTAATCCAGCAAATTGAATAGTAGTAATTTGATATTTTCTTTAATAAAGTAACTCTTGTAGAATTCCTGTTATAAGAGACATAAAAATGCAGAAATAAAAAATAACAGCACAAAAACAATATTTTTGAATTTGTTTGAACCAGTTGTTACTATTGTGCGGATAAAATTTAACTGCAGATGATGAATATCTATTAGAAATAGGCAGACAACGAATAAAAGAAGGTATTTGTGGTACATGATATTAATCATTTAGGTTGAAAGTCAGGCATTTAAGAATAAGTCATGGGCCGGGTGCTGGTGGCTTATGCCTATAATCCTAACTACTCAGGAGGCTGAGATCTGAGGATCACAGTTCAAAGCCTGCCTGGGCAGGAAAGTCTGTGAGACTCTTATCTCCAATTAACTACCAGAAAACTGGAAGTGGCTCTGTGGCTCAAGTGGTAGAGCACTAGCCTTGAGCTGAAGAGCTGAGGGACAGTGTCCAGCCCCAGAGTTCAAGCCCCATAACTGATCAAAAAAAAAAAAAAAAACTCATGGTAGGACTCTGTAATAAAGCTGTTCAAGTCAAGTATATTTTTTTCTTCTGTCATCTTCAATAAACATGTAGTGTTTTTTAAATTTAATTTTATTATAAAGGTGATGTACAGAGGGGTTATAGTTACTTAAGTAAGCAATGAGTACATTTCTTGTCAAACGCTGTTACCCCCCCCATTTATCTCCCTTTTTTCCTCCCCTCTGATTCCCCCCGCCCCAAATTGTAAAGTTCATTTCCAACATAGTGTCTTGTGAGTATCGCTGTTGCATTGGTTCACCTTTTGCCCTTTGTCTCACCATTTTGTTATTCCCCTTCTTTCCCAAATTTAATAAACATATATACAAGACACAGGGTACCAAAATCAAAAAACTGTGATACCAGGGGATAAGCCAAAGGGGAAAAAAATGAAAGAGAAAAGAAATAACTTCACACAGTACATTACAAAAAAACGAAAAACTAAAACAAAATCTTAAAAAAAACCCTCTTGTTTTCATACTTGGAGTTCCTTTTGATTAGCATCATTTTATGTGGTCATATGTACTTAGCTACTGAGCTATTGTGATCCTCTGCTAGGATTATCCTAGACAAATACTAATTATTACAAAGGAAGGAATCCATAGAGACTGTGTTTCTTTGAGTCTGGCTTACTTCACTTAATATGATATGG